TTCATAATTTTATAAGGAACTTTACAAATTGCCCTTGTTTACTTGCATCGTTCATCCCATTTACTTTAATTTAGCATAAAAACATTGTATTAAAGTTTGATTTTCTAAATAAAGTGAAAGCTGAAATAATTATAGTACTCAGTAGGATTTAAATATTAATCCATGTGGGTTCGACACTCCTATTCTAATATTATATTACAAAACTTGACACTTTATACTTGCTGTATATATCACGTTGCATAAAACACATAGCACGAGCCTCTGCAATTCAACACTCCATGCCTCGGCCAAAACAAAAATTCATCATCAAACAAAATGAGTCTCGGTAGTTCAGCAATTTCCTGCGTCGACTTGAAATCAACTTTAGCTATAATGAACATTACGAGCCTCAATAATTTAGCATTTTCAAGCCTCGACTAGCAATCAAATCCGGTTATCATCTTCCAAGTACTTCTGTTGTATGACACAACGTAATCAGATTTTAAGTCCAATCATGGTATAAATATCCATCATTGGACTTGGAGGACTATTATTAGGTGGTTCAAAATTTTTTTAATTTTTGACCAAAGGAAATTCTACTCAATACTAAAGTCCATACATGACATAAATAATTATACATGGACTTGGGAAACTATTGTTGCGCCTCGCCACACGTGGCTGACTTATTGTAGCTGTTGGGCTACCCAAACTGAAGCGTCATGTATAATGGTCAGGCCCTGAAGCTGAACTGCCTTGCAACGTGGCCGAAGCCAAGCCTCAACAGGGACTTAATACCATAAAGCTGAAGCCCACTTCTTCGAGGCAAAAGCCTCCGAAGCCCACATCACCGAAGCATCTTTTATTATCACTTCTTCCAAGAGATCTTCTTTCATACAAAAACCTTATTCAAATGACTGATGAGACATTTATCATGAGTGTAAATGTTAAGTCTTTTCAACAAAGTGATGGCTCTACCTGAGTAATAAATGCATAGTAGGCTAGCAAGTTAAAGAGTGCTGCCTAGGATTAGATGTTTGAAATAAGGAGTTGAGGCCAGGTGTATCCTCATCTAAGGGCCACTATTCCACTTGTATCACTATAAATACTCTCATATGTAACCCTTTTGAAACTAATGCAACTTTGAATACAAAACACTACTCTTCATTTTCTCTCTTGCGCGATAACTGTATTTACTTCATGGTAATTCTTGTACAATCGTTTCATAAAAATATCATTGAATTTTGAACATGTTTGTCTCCTGCTAAAGAGCTGCTCCCATGCCCCTTTTTCTTGAGAGTTCTTGATCGTTGGTTTGTCCTAGTGTGTTGGAATTAGCTTACATGTATGCGAGTAGGTCCAGCATTTGTTGTCCACATGGCCTAATCGAAAACGAGGTCAACAAATAATAATATATGTCCGATCAGGTCCCTATGGTAGTTCTATAAAGTATTGAAACTTAATTACGATAATTATAACAGATTTCAACTTAATTATAATTACAATAAAATTTTGTACTTAGTTACTATAAAGTAATAAACTTAATTATAATTGTAATTGAAGTTCTAGGACTACATATGTAATTAAATCTAAACCAATTGAATTTGAACTTTAATTAAAACTCCTACTTGGATGTGGAATTATTATTGTATATGGATTATAACTATTCTATCTCGATAAATATATTAGATGAAAACTAGATATTCTATGAAATTGTACAACAATCATGATACATAATTTCACAATATTCAAATTTAGAGAGAGAGAGAGAGAGAGAGAGAGAGAGAGAGAGAGAGAGAGAGAGAGAGAGAGAAAAATCATCTTATTCAATTGTCCAGTTTAAGAATTAGTTTCTTAATTTAATTAAAAGAAAGTACTCACCCATTGTTGTAGGCTTGACTTGGATAATACCATAGAAGACTTGGAGGTTTGAAATATCAAGTTTTTGAAATTAAAAAGCTGAAAGTTTGTGATTCAAAAGATTGGAAGTTTGTGATTCAAAATTAATTAAAGAATTGATCATCGAATTTAGGTAAAAGTTCGAATGCTTTATTCTTGATATAATATACACATAAATATATAGACGATCTTGTTGATTGAATTACAATTTTTTATTTTTCTTTTTTAATTTCTGGATAATTTCACTTCCGCATTCCAATAGGTAAGGTGTTCTACGGTCTCATGTACGACCGCCAGCTAGGGATTTCCAGCCTCATGGAATTGTTTTTTGCATCTTGCCTTTGGATATTACATGGGAGGCTTATTCGAATTGGTTCTGGAATGGCTTCTCGATCCTATGCTATGGTTCATATTTTTTTATGAAAGATTTAGAGAACGGGAAGATCTTGATTATTTTGAAATTGGAAATGGGACTTGTTTCGCAATCAACGCTCTTCCTAGTGCCAAACTATTGATGACAAAAAAATGACATTGCACTTTTTGATCAACTTCTAGAGATTCGAACATAAGTGTTTTAATGTTGGTATTTTGATAATCGTATAAAGTGAATTTCAATTTGGACCCCATTTCTCATTCACCTTCAATCCTTTATATAGGCTGATCAATTCATACTTGCCACCTTAATCATGTCAAGTTACAATGTACCAAACTAGTACTACATACCATCACCCTTTCGAAGGAGTTTCATTGGTTGGTCAGTTTGGCTGCGACTAGATCATTACATTACCTAGGCCATCATGTCATATTCCTAATTGCGTAGTTTGGGTGGTGCAACTATAAAGGAGAGCTCTTCCTCTATCATGTCACAATGGTATTTCATATAACATCTACTATAGTCCTAATACGATCTTTGTTAACGGAGTCTTGGGTCGAGTGCCAAGCTGACTTGTCTGGGCTATTCGGCAAGAATGCTATTTTCATCAAGTTAAATTCAACGTGGACTTGCGATTGGCAATAATTACATTCATCTGAGATGTCATTAATTTAGAGGGGCCCTCATGCTTTATAGCTATTCATTATCTCTGGAATGTTGGAAAACAAGAAAATGGAGAAGATGGAGACTGAAACTTCAACACAGAAAATAAAGAAAACCAGAAAACGGTGGCTTAACACACGTGATGAATACGAATTTCTTAGAATGATATTTTCCCTATTCCTTGCCGACTTCATTGACAATTAGCTTCGAGGACACAAGTCTTTAATGAGCTTGCACAAAACAATTATACACTCACTTAAATGAACAAGAATACTACTGAGAATTCTGAAAATTGTAGGGGTTCAAGATGACGATGAATATATATATGTTCAAATTTTATATATCACATGAATGTATATTATATCTTTATTTCTCCAAACCACTTATTTACGTCCTTGACAACTCCATGTATGAATTGGTTTGCAATAAATCCTCCATGTAAAGATGCAACTTGCCCCTATTCATGGTAAACGTTCAAAAATTACCAGTTTATTCGTAGCGAGAAATGACTGCAAGTAAGGCCAGGCCTCTAAGCCCCAAAAGCAAGCTCACGACACATCTTAAAATGTCATACAAGTCACCAATGCTACTCACGTTTATAATTCGAACAAATTAGAACATGGAATCCCTCCATACAGATTCAAGAATATAAACTGCATTAAATCTGAAAGTGTTCAAGCGGTTAGAGATCTTCTATGTTGACACAAACCACATTCTAATAATTATCTTTCCAAATATTAATTATTAGAATCATAAATAGATGCAAAACTATTGAGAATAATTAAATAGTTCCTCAGTCAGAGAGTAAGAACTGGGTTGAATCCCATAGCCGAACCAACAAGCTATATCATATTAGAGCATAAGCAAAGATCAACAGTATCAGTACACAGTACTGTCTGTTCCCATCACAACAATCTAAGGACAACTCGAGTGAATCAGGTACTAGATACTGCGAAGGGGGCCAAGGATAAGAAGAGAGAAAGAAAAAGTACAAAAGGAAAGAAGTAAAACAAAAAAGAAGACTTTGCATGAATTGTCAAGTCAGAATGTCACATGTTGAGGTTCCTTATCTGAGGAGGAATTACTTTTTCCATTTTAAGGTGGTTTCTTATAGGTAAACACAATTTCCATATCTGTACACTCCATCTTTTTCCACTTTTGAATGTGTGATTTGACAAACATGTAAAACAATAGTCACTTTAGATGCGCAGTAACTTTTAACAAAAACCAGATAAAAGACAAGAAAGTTACATAAAGATGTCATTATTACTCAGCCGAAACAAAGAGTTTATCAGAATAATTATGAATACCCTCATCAATTTTCTTCATGGATTTCATTGCTTTTGTATTATCAGAGATGGGTTTGGATTGGATAGTGAATCTTCCAACTCTGTGCGTGTCTCCTTGTCCTCCCCCATTGGGATATGACTATAAGCTTCAACCTTTTTTGATTGCTAGACTAGATTGGTAAATATTGTTGTGGGCTATTTCTTTCCTGGAATGTTGTTATTGGGTTGGTTGTGGTTCTCTCTTCTCGACTTAGTTAAATAATAGTTCTTATGTGTTACTTGGAAAGAAAACGAAACCACAATGTTGCGGCTCATTTCCCTAGAAGAGGGCTTGGAGTCTTGATTTATATTCCATCACTTGGTTTGGACTTACTTGATCATTTGATCCTTGTAATGTTTTGCTTTGAATTCCCGGCTATGTCGAAGTAGTTGTACTTAATTTTGATCAATACTAATTTATTTACTTGATCATAAAAAAATAAAATAATAAATAAAATAATAATAATAAGAGGGCTTAGAGTCTCTTTGGGATAACTTCTACTTTGCTTATGTCTTTTTGTACAATAATTTTATAAAGAAGCTAGTATGAGTCAGCTTCTTTTAATTCGTTAAGTACTTGCTTTTAGCTTTTCAAAACCCAATTCCAACTGGTCCTTTGCCATTCAAACCCAAATATACTTCTCCCTTTCTCATTAAAACTGTTCATTTACCAACTTCTATTATACATTTCATAATTACAATGCAAATTCAGGCGAGGAGACATGAACCTTGGAAATGCACATGGGAGTCTTTTAGTTGACTCTATAAAACTGCTTCATCTAAAACTTTAAATGTTTAAGAGAAATATGTCCCAAAACCGTTCTGAACTTGTATTTTTCACTTATTTACTTGCTCCATTATCATATTGAATCGTCGTGCCTAAAATCTTAACACTCATTTCGTTTGTCCTTTTTTTCTGGTTAGAAGCTTTCACTGCGTCAATCCATGAGGATAATAGCAGTGATACTCTGTGGCGCTTGTCCTTCCTCGGCCATGACAAGCAAATGCTGAAATGATAGATGGATCCATCACACTTTTTCCTCAGCCAAAGAAACAGCAAACTAAACGACCCTTCCTATATAAACACTTGCCCTCATTCATAAACCAAACTACAAGAACCTAACAAAACCAACAGAGACTGAAACTCTAATCCAGAAAAGGCTCTACACCTTTTCTTAATGCCCAGAATAATCTTCTGTCTTTACTCTCGCCGAGCAAACAATAGAAGTCGAGAATTCTCATAATCTAGACATAGAATCTTTTGCTTGATTGCTTTATTTATGGAACCATTTCACACTGGAATCAGCAAACCAATTCCGTATGCCAATGTTGCCTCTACCCCCAACATTGGTAGCACGAGTGGCATTACGACCACTCCATGGATGGACACTAGGATATGGAGGAGGCTCCCACAAAAATTGGTCGATCGAGTTATTGCGTTCCTTCCCCCACCGGCCTTCTTTCGAGCCCGGGCAGTTTGTAAAAGATGGTATGGTCTCGTATTTTCCAACAACTTTCTTGAACTGTACATGCAAATATCGCCCCACCACCACTGGTTCCTGTTCTTTAAGCATAAAAGCCTCAAGAACCATGTCTACACAAACTACAGTGGGAACAACGGCTCTGGCAGACCAAACTATGAAGGGTACCTTTTTGATCCTTACAACGTCAAGTGGTACCGCATTACCTTCCCTTTGATCCCGCCCGGGTTTTCCCCTGCTTCGTCCTCAGCTGGTTTAAGCTGTTGGGTGTCTGAAGAGGCCGGTTCAAAGAGTATCCTTTTATGCAATCCACTCATAGGGTCTCTAATTCAATTGCCATCAACGCTAATGCCAAGGCTCTTCCCTTCAGTTGGCTTAACCATCACCAACTCCTCCATAGATTTGGCTTTTGCAGGAGATGACTTGATTTCTCCTTATGCAGTCAAGAATTTAACTTCGGAAAGCTTTCATATCGATGAAGGGGGATTCTATTCCATATGGGGAACGACTGCTTCTCTTCCGAGGCTTTGTAGCCTCGAATCAGGCCAAATGGTTCCGGTGAAAGGGCGATTTTACTGCATGAATTATAGCCCATTCAGCGTCTTAGCTTACGATATTGCCATGAATCACTGGTGCAAGATTCAGGCTCCCATGCACAGATTCCTACGCTCCCCTAGCTTGGTCGAGAGCAGAGGAAAACTCATATTAATTGCAGCGGTTGAGAAGAGCAAGCTTAACATTCCTCGAAGCTTGAGACTCTGGGTTTTGCAAGAATGCAGGACAATGTGGGTCGAGATAGAGAGAATGCCACAGCAACTGTATATCCAGTTCGCCGAAGCTGAAGGCGGCCGAGGATTCAACTGTGTTGCACATGGTGAATTCGTCGTCATACTCATCCGACAGTCGGAGAAAGCATTATTGTTTAATTTCAGCAGAAAGAGCTGGGTATGGATACCTTCATGTCCTTGCGCGAATGGAAGCGGAATGACTGCGGAAAATGGTAACGAGTTGCACGGTTTTGCCTACGAGCCTAGGCTTGCTACACCAATTGCAGCTCTTCTCGAACAACTTACTCATCCCTTCCAGTCTTTCACTGCATAAGCCCTGAATAAGTACGTAGTTTCCACAAGCAATGCAATATTAGGTCCAGTTTCCAAGTGTATTGAGAAGCCTGTATCAGAAGGTGGTTCAAAAATAGTACAAATATTTAGCCCTTCATCAATGGATATCTCAATATATTCATTCCAAAATGTTAAATAGTAGCTGGAACAAGAATATTAATTCTTGTTCAACTTGGAACACATTATTAGACCAACACTGGAACAAGTTCGAACTAACCTTTTTTTTCTTTTGCCTTCCGTCTGTTCGCCTTTGCACCATGTACAATGCGAAATAAACCGAATCTCATACGTATACACAAAAACTGCTCCTTGAGCTTCGCTAAATGGGGAGGTGGGAGTTTCCCGACATCTTATATGATATATTGAGTACTAGGCTAACTAACAATACTGTAACCGAAGATTAAAAGCATCTAACACATTGCTTGCATTGTACATGTCAAAAGCTGAAACTCTTCAAAATGGCATTCAAACTCATCTTATCATCCATATAGAGAATACAATAAAAAATAATTATAACTGAAAATAAAATGACAGAAAATGCTGAGAAACACCTGTTACAGTGAGACCAACCATTGTCAACCAAAATTATTGTGTTTGCATGTTGTTCTCACACACGACGCATCCATCCGGGGATATATAATATTTTGGAACAATAAATACAAAGTTTTGATATATCTAAACCGAAAGGCAAAACTGATCCAGCACAATTCTGGGGGAGCAGCAGTTTTCTTGAAAAAAATGATGCTGATAGCTCATGGAAAAACAAAAAGCTCGTTAACTATCTGACTACCATGCTAACAATGATGAACTATTGAATAATTAAGTAAGAAGAGCTTAAGTTCCATGGGCCTAAACAATCTTGGAAAACTATATTGGCAAATCTTTCTATATATACGACCGAGACTATTAGTACAATACTAAACACGATTCAGCCGCTGAAGGGATCATTTGACTCTGACCATGAGGATGAGATGGACATTCCTCTTGAATATGGATCTCAACTCTTCGTTAGCTTCCATACCTATCCTCCTGCATAATCATCAGAAATGCAATTCAATAAACATGTAAAACCTATACCAAATAAAACAAGGTCGTCGATATTGCTAGATATTTGATTTGGTTGACTGTCAAATACAGATGACTAGTGAAAATGAATACATTCCCGGGGCAAACCCCCAACAAGAGTTTTACATCAAATCCAACAGGAGTTTGAAATATATTTTGTGATGCTTCAGAAACCTTTAGTAACATTAAAGTTCGCATGGAAGCACCACGGAAAGATTAACAGAAACGAAAAGCAGGCAATTTCTAGAATTTTCCTTTTTCCTTTAGATTAAAAGGGCTGGGAAATTGATCAGCAGATGATTGAACTCTTCGAAGCTTTAAAGATGAACAAATTTTAAATGCTTCAATGAATGTCTAAAGGCATACTAACCCGACTTTGGATCCCTTCTTCCCGACAAGAATCTTGCGTTGGCTGATCTTGTGAGTAATGAAGTGTTGCTCAATCCTGAGAGAGCCATCTCGTAACTCCTTCCAGTCCATCAAACGATGTTCAATGCCATATGGGATTTCCTAAATAGAGGAAAGTAAATGAGCATAATATAAAGCCATCTAGTTAATGATCTTCAAACGTTAAATTTGATGAAAACTGCATATTTACAATGATAACTGTGAAAACCAAGCGTTACCTGGTGAACATAATCTAACAATTTTTCTCTCACAGTTTCCAGTGATATGTTCTTCATAATTTCTTCACTCATGGCAAATGGATCCTCATCCCATGGTCTTTTTATTGCCTACGCATAAATAACAATGGGAGACCAAAATTAGAACAAACTATTGGTACCACATTTGTACTATTTACGGGGTTTTTATTTTTATATTTAAATATAGGAATATGTAGTATTACTAGTGTCCAACAGATCCTTATACATTAGCAATTATAGAAATGCAGCAAGGCTCTAGTACAATACATAAAATCGAAGGGAGAAAAATAACTATCAAAGGCTGCATTATACGACCAAAAATTACAGCTAAAATATTTGAGTAACAAACAGTTTCAGTAGTTCTCTTATATATTATTAACTAGTATTAACGATAAGGAATAATGTAATTCCATAGTTTTAACACAAATTGCCCAAAGAGTTCTTGAACTCCTGACAGGAATGTGAAGGTCTATGCATCTCGATGCCAGTGACAGATTGTAATTTCACTTCTCTATAGTCCATTTAATCCAAGATGACACTAAAAAGTTTCAAAATCCTGCTCTTGCAGTCTCTAAAATAAAGTTCAGCATCTTTAAAGTTGGCAGGAAATCTCCCACTCCCTTGAATGCTTAAATGAGTTCAGCCAGGAGGTAGCATTCAAGGTTCCATGATCCAGAACATTGTGTTTGCAAGAGTATGTAATACTATCCTGGCTGCTAACTCCCCCAAAGTCCATGCAAGGGTAGCACAGACAAAATAGCATCCTATAAAATTGAGAAGAAATCTGTATATTTCTGTGTATTTCAATGATGTGCATTACAACAGTTTTATAGGCTGAAAATACTGTCTAAAATAGGAAGATTCCTAACCTAGTAATTAGGAATACTGTCGTCTATGAATAACAATTTACTAAACTAACAGTCAGGAAACAAATTTATAATGTTACCAACTTTAGCTGATTTACCTAATTGACTTATTCTATTTACACCAAAGATTCTTTCAACACTCCTTTCAAGCTGGCTTGAAGATATCTTCCATAGTCAGCTTGCCAACTAAGATGAAGAGAACTAAGATGTTGAATCTCTTCTTAGGTAATCCTTTTGTAAGTACATCTGCAGTTTGATCATTGGTTGGAACGTACAACATGCAAATCAGACCACTCTCAATCTTCTCTTTGATGAAGTGTTTGTCAACATCCACATGTTTTGTCCTATCATGAAGAACGGGAATGTGAGCAGTTACAATGGCTACTTTGTTGCCACAGTAGACCTTTATTGGTAAGGAGTTGAAAACCTTCAATTCTTCTAGTAGTTTTCTAATTCACATGACAAACACCCTGAGCAACAGATCTGTATTCAGCTTCTGCACTACTTTTAGCCACCACATTTTACTTTTTGCTACACCATGTGGCAAGATTTCCACCGACAAATGTGCAATTACCCTGAAGTTGATCTTCTTTCTGTTGTACTCCCAGCCAAACCTGCATAGGTGTAGATTTCCACCTATTGATGTCCACGTCCTTGATATAATATTCCTTGTCCAAAAGTCCCCTTTAGATACATTAGGATTCTATAAGCAGCTTCAAAAGTGTTCAGGACCCGGTGAGTGCATGAACTAGCTAACCAAACTCACTGCAAATGCTATATCCGACCAAGTGTGTGACAAATAAATCAATTCCCAACTAAAATTTGATATTTTTCTCTATCTATCGCATCCTCAACTTAGCAGGTTGTAGCTTCCCATTTGGTTCACATGGTGATTCGACAGGTTTACAACCAAGTAACCCCATTTCATATATAGATCCAAGACATACTTTAGTTGACTAACAAATATCCCTGCTTTTGATCTAGCAAACTCCATACCAAGGAAATACTTCGATAGACCCAAGTCTTTGATCTCAAAATCACCAAGAAGGTTTTTCTTTAGTCTCAACAACTCGATATTATCACCTGTCAAAATAATATCATCTACACAGACAATTAGGATAGCAACTTTACCGTCTGTCGAGAGCTTGAAGAACATAGTTTGATCAACCACAATTTGAAGTAACCATGACTTTTTACCACTGTCTCAAAGCATTCAAACCATACTCTAGGAGATTGTTTAAGACTATATAATGACTTCTTTAATTTGCATACTTTTTCTTAGCCAAACTTTGCTTCAAAACATGGTGGTAGGCATATGAACACCTCTTCCTCCAATCTACATTTAAGAATGCATTTTTTACATCTAACTAGTGTAAAGGCCAGTTGGAGTTCACTGCTAAGGATAGTAAGACTCAAATTGAGTTTATCTTGACTACAGGCGCAAATATTTCTTGGTAATCAATCTCATATGTCTGTGTAAATCCTTTAGCCACGAGTTTTGCTTTGTATCCTTTTATACTACCATCTGCTCTACACTTAACTGTGTATAGCCATTTACATTTCACAGTAGTCTCATCTCTCGACAAAACAACTACTTCTCAAGTACCACTCCTCTTAAGAGCATTCATCTCTTCTACCACTGCTAACTTGAAAAAGAAGACCATCCCCTTTGTGTCGCAACTGATTCGGTAAGCTACGTGTCCGATCAAAACTATTCTAGGCCACAAGAACTTGTCTGACGCCTTACCGCTCATCCGGATCATCTAGTACCTCTTTAATATCTCTTGGAACAAACAAGTAGGTAACCTTAGAGGTAAAAGCTCTATGGTTATTGGAAAGTTTTGTATAGGTTAGGAATTTTGCGATTGGATGGTTAGTGCATGTTCTAACTCCTCTTTTGATTGCTGTAGGGAGATCAAGATCAAATAATATACTGTTAAATGGTACAAAAGTAGAGAGGATAGGATTACTTAGACCATTGCTCGGTGATTCTGACTCGTCTTGTGCAAGTATGATAGGAGAATTATAATTCTTTGTTCCTCTTCAAGTATAAACTAGTAACTCAGTGTTTGATTATGATATTTCTCCCCCTGCCCTTGATGTTTCTCTATTTGACAACGAACAAGTAAAGTCTTTATTTTCAGAACCTTGAACAAATGTTTCGGGCTGAGAGACACTAAGTATAGGAGAGTTTAAAACTGTAAAACGTAGGAGATCAATAATAATCCAAAAAAATTTTCTAGTATTCCTCTCTCTCCCTGAAGTGAATTTTAGATAAAATATGATTGATTTTCCAAAACAGAGACACCCATGCTGACATGCAATTTTTTTGTTGTAGGATTGTAACACTTGTATCCCCTTTTGTTTGGTGCATAGCCAATAAAAACACACTTTTCAACTCTGGGATCAAGTTTGGAACAAAATTTGCTATATGAACAAAAATGGTACAACCAAAGACTTTAATTGGGAGATCTACATGTATCCTAGATGTTGGGAAAAATTTTTGAAACTGTCTAAAGGCATTATATAGTTTAAAACATGTGTAGGCAGTCGGTTAATCAAACAATTATTCGGCCTCTGACCTCATCAAGTTTTGATTTAAGTCCAGCAAGAAAGTTGTAGAAGCAGTTATCCTCAACTACTTTCTTGTAATGTTTGCAGTCCTCTACAGATTTCCATTCGTAGTCGCTGAACAAGTCCATTTCTTGCCAAATTCGTTTTAATAAGTTGAAATAATTGGTGACATTGTCCTCTACTTGCCTGATCTCACCAAGTTTTATAGTAAACTCATAAATCAGAGATTAATTACCCATAGCAGCATACATCAGGTTAATGTTATCCCATAGTTCCTTAGCTGTGTTGTAGCACATGTAGCTGGAGCTGATCTCTTCTTCCATGGAGTTCACAAGCTATGTCATGACCATAGAATTCTCAGCATCCCAGGCTGCAAACAGCCGATCATCATTGTGTTCTGGTTCCTTTGCTTCACTTATCAAGTAACCATCTTTCCTCTTCCACGAATATACATGCGTACAGATTCAGACTATCGCAGGAAATTTGATCCATTCAACCTGCTTGTGGTAATTTGTATGGTGAGAGTCAGTATGGGAAGCTTTTGGGTTTGGAAAAGGATTGTGATTGAGCAGGAGTAGATTAAGATGTACATTCAGACATGGCGGAAGCAAAAGGGTAATTGGCGGCTGGGGTTAGGGTTCAGAGCGATTTTAGCTATATAGAATTGACAAGAAATCTGTATATTGCTGTGTATTTGAATGGTGTGAATTAAACAGTTTTATAGGTTGAAAATACTGCCTAAATAGGAAGATTCCTAACCTAGTAATTAGGAATATTGCTGTCTATGAATAACAATATACTTACCTAACAATCAGGAAACAAATTTATAATGTAACCAACTTTAGCTGATATAACTAATTGACTTATTCTATTTACACCAAAGATTCTTTCAACAAATCCAAACATTACTTCATTTAATTGGAGAGTAAATATTATCTGGTCTTTGATATAGAGTTACTTAGCAAGTATTTGGGCAAAAAAATGGAATACAGTAGCATGCAGTAAATGAGAAGGGATTGTGACAAGAACATTGTTTCTTTCCGCCATAAAAGAATTTGTCGAGAATCCTGAATTTCCTTCCAGAATCTGGATATATACAACATATGCCTACAAAGGAAACTATGATACATCATGTAGCAGGAAAATTCATTTTCATTTCAGTGATGGTACAAAACAGTAAAGGCAGAAGAAGACTCAAACTACTATATTGAATTAACAAAGCCAGCGACATTCAAATCATACCTGCTCCATTAGATACTGAGCAAGATCTTTCACTCCAGCACCCTTCAGTCCTGAGAGCATGAAGCACCTAGACAGAATAAAAAACAAACATCAGGCTTCACAGCAGTATATTCAATTAGAAAAAATAAAGTACTGACCGTTCATATCCAGGAAGATTTTTGAATTGCTCAGCAACCTTTAGTAGATCTTTCTTCTTTTCAACCAAGTCAACCTTATTCATACATAGAACCCGCTTCTGTTTTTCGTTGCGAATTGAGCCCATTCTTTCAATCAATCTCACCACTCTTGAATCAGGCCTGGATTTGAAATAACATAGACACCAGTGGGAATCCAATTAGGATTTCACATATATATAATATTACGAGTCAATAGCAGTACAAAAGAGCCAAAAATTTGCATAATGTTACACGTTATACATGCATGAATTATCGCTTTGTTACAAAACTAATACTTTGAACCGCATCATCTAATAAATCTGAATAGAACTTTTACAGATTCGTTAATAGATTAATATAATTAGGATGACAGGGAACTGCCTCTAGCACTTACATCTGCATGAAATTCAACTTCTTCTATATTAATGCCTTAATAGAACTTTATACCAGTTGTTGACAAGAAACAGCAGATTTAGTTACTCAGATTAAATGCACGTTATACAGCAATTTCCATAGTGCCTCCACCTCACTGATCATGATAATGAGTTAAGAAACCATGTGTAAGCATAACAGAAGATTATGATCCAATGGAAATTGAACAATTAGTTTATATTCAAATCTAGACATTACTGGCAAGATGCAACCATAATAACTTTAAATCAGTATAAATTAATTGTTAACTTTGACTTAAATTAAATTTTTATCAAACAAGAATTTAGTCTCATCATGATCATCCAATTTGATTGTATTTCCTCATAACCATACGATTTTATATAAGTTTCACTATGATCATTCAATTTCTTTTCACTATTTTACTAATTTTAAAAAGGTAAAATTTTAACTTTACTTATATATATATATATATATATATATAAAATAAAATAAAAACTTATTTAAAAAATGTTACTTAAAAAATAAAATAAACAAAAACTTATTTTTTTTTAAAAAAAAACTTTGCTTAGAAAAATAAAGTAAAAAGTTAGTTTAAAAAAAAACATTCCTTAAAAAAATTATAAAAATATTTGAAAATAAACATTTTTAAATTAAAATAAAAACTTATTTTAAAAAAAAAAAGATAATTAGAAAAATAAAACAAATAAAAAAAATTTTTAAAAAAGGTTTTGTTAAAAAAAAAATCTTTTATTTTTACTTTTAAATTTATTTTTTATATATAATGCAAAGTTACCATTTTATCCCCTTTTAAAATTAGTGAAAATGATAAAAAGATGTAAGATGGTTATAGTGAAACGTTATATAAAATTGAATGGTCATGGGACACTAAAAGCCCGTTTGGCTCCCATTTTCTGAAAATGAAAATGAGGGAAATAATATTTTTTTGAAAAATGAATTGTTGAAAAAGAAGGAAAAGTTTTCGATTTGCGTATAATATTATTTTATAGAAGATTGTGTGGTTGAAAATAAGAGAGAGAATAATGGAATGTAATGTAATTGAATTTAATGGGGGCCAAACGGGGGCTAAATATAAAGTTCGATGGCCATGGTGAAACAAAATTTAATTGGGTGGCCATGGTAACATTAAGTATAAAATTGGATGGTCATTGGTGAATTTAACCCTTGAACTTTCAGTAAATTTCAATTAGGTCATCCGACTATAATTTATCTCAATTAACACATAGTAAACCTCCATTACTTGAATGAACATCGCAACACATTTTAAACACACTTATTTTCAAAGTTTACACTAATGACATATTTAAATGGTATATTTACCCAGGAGCATAAGTCAAATTATTATCATTTATGTTGGCGAAAACTTCGAGAAATCTTGAATCTGACCTCAAATATTCAACCAATTAATCACCAACCGAGGAAGCTCGACCTACAACTATACCCACTTGGTTGCAAAAATGCGACATTAACAACATTCATTTAAAAAATGTTGTCAAATCTCAATTATTAACACCAACGACAACATTCACTTATTAGAATGATGCGATAAACCTTTTAGTAACATTTAATTAATCAATATTACCTTTTACATGTTACAAAAACGTATTTTTGTTGTAGCTAGTTGAGGAGGAAGAGTTGCTTACTGGACATTTCACTATAACGTAACGTGATATAATGGTGAGATATGCACCTGACAAAATTGACGAGGATGACTTACACGTGAGAATATTTTTCCCAATGATTATTTACGAGGAGGACTTACTCTTGGAATAATATAAGAATCACCTTTATAGGACTTCCAATAACTATAACAAGTGAATAAGACTTCTCATGAAGATGTCCTTGTGCAATTTATTAATAATATCAAGTCATATGCGATGAAACACATAGCAAGCTTTACAACAAGGAGTGAAGTGCAATTGCCCGAGATTTTAGATAATAGACCGATCATTCAACTTGAGGAAGCACCAACTAAAGAAGAAGAGCGCATGGAGAGAATGAGAAGTTTATCATAAAGGAACAACAAGAACATGTGATATACAATAAAGTTGGAATTGTCTAGTAGTCCTTCAACAGGTCAATGAGAAAGTTGAATATTTCATAGTTGAGCTCGAGCTTTGTGGTCAAGTCAAGAAATATTTTATGAGAAGTACTAAGTCAAAAATGTAGAGGATAAATAGAAAATTGTTCAAAGTCAACTAATGCGAGTAAAATCATGCTTTCAAAGCCGATTCAAAGTGTCATGAAACGATTATAGTGTTTAAACTAATGACTTTAAACAAGCATTCATTGAAAGACAACCGAATTTTCTTAATTCTACCTTTTTTGTTTTCAATTTTTAAGGTAGGACTTATTTTACATTTTTTGGATTTTCTTTCGAGCAATTTAGAGTCGATGTAATAAAAAATAAGTTAGGTTAAAAAAAATCCCACAAACTTTCATTGGTGCCACTGACCCTTTAAAGCTAATTATATGTTCTTGTCTATTTTCAAAAATAATAAGATAATTTAAAAACCAAACAAATGAAGCTAAAGGAGAAAAGGGGCCAAGTGATAAAGGTGAAGAATTATCTTATGAGAATGGAGTATTACTATCATTTCTTAGGCTTGATTTATGCTTACAATGAAAATAATGTAACTTTAAGTTTGGGGTCGGCTCAACTCATAGGGTCAGTTGTGTGCTTGTTTTAGTGATTTACATTAATCCATAAAAAATGAAATTTTAAAAATTTCAATAAATAAATAAATAAAAATAGAAAAACTATGCTTTTGTGTTACTTAATTGTATAACATTGCCATCTAATGATGATTTTATAGTTAATAAAATTTCAGCATGATTTATGATGTCACTAAATTAAGCTATTTGTGCTTAGGGCCTGTTTGGGCCCGATTTTTTCACGCAAAAAATTGATTTTTTTATCGTTATTTCACTATTTCAGTCGTCAGATTTGATTTCTTCTCTCACAAGTGGATCCCACTTTTCTCCTAACGATCAAAAAATCAATTCTCAAAATCACTCCCAAATAGGCTCTTATTTTCTATTTATTGCTTATCAATGTGAGACCTTGTGATATCAATGAGCAGAGTCATTTTTAATTGTTATTGAGGTTTGGAATCCTTTTGTAGTGGGATGAATTGTTTGAGTTGGTAGAATTGTTTGCACATTACGTCCAATACCCCATATACAATCAAAATAAATCACTTTCTGGGGGGTGGTTAAACCTATAAGAATAGGAAGTGGCATGACATTGGTATCACAAATGTTTGAGCAAAATTGCCACCTACAAGTGAGTTGAAAAAGGATATGCACTTCCATGGCGAAGTCTTGAACACTAATTTAAGGATCTAAATGTCTAATTAGTTTGATTTGCCGAGTGGAAATTTGAAGGCTTAACGTTCAAAATTAGGGAATAAACACGTGTTTTTATTGGTCCACTAAAACAACTTTGAGTGGGGAAGTAATGAGTGGTTTAAGAGCAAATCTTTAGAAACTTAATATATGTTTGGGAGTATGTGTATCTCACGAGTGAAAGAGGAAAAAGAGCCATTAAAGTTTGGGATTGGAACCAACTTGAAAAATTATTCTTTTATGGAATTTTAATTGGATCAAGGTGATAGTTGAATTTGGCTATGGACACACCAGTCAAGCATCAGCAGGGAAAAGAGCCATTAAAGTTTGGGATTGGAACCAACTTGAAAAATTATTCTTTTATGGAATTTTAATTGGATCAAGGTGATAGTTGAATTTGGCTATGGACACACCAGTCAAGCATCAGCAGGGGCGAACCTAGACTTTTTGTGCAATGGGGTCAAAATTTAAAGTGCAAATTTTTAAAAATAATATAATATTAATGAAAATAATTATATTATTATTAATTTTATTAAATGAATTTTGTTGTGTATATAGTGTTGTTTACCTTTTCGTTGACAGAAACTGAGCTAACGACAAGTAAATCAAATTAAATGTATAAAGTAAATGAATTGAAATAAAATTCACATTTAATTTAGGAAATAAATGAATTTTAAATTTAATGCAAAAGTAATTCGATAGTAATTCAAATTAGATTTAATTCTTATCGATCTTAAAATTTTTGACATCTGCAAAAATAATAAATGTTAATAAGATAATTAAAAGTTTTTAATGAAAAAATGAGCTAGACGTCTCTTTTTAGGTGTATATTTGACATATATTTAACTATTTTCGATAATCATTTGGACCATTCAATATGACTACAAATGTAACTCTCGAAAAGAGCTTCTAGATGACGTAGGCGATTTGTAGATTCGGATAGTATACGATCATTGGCGAATTTTGAAAATTAGCATATTATTGAAATTTTTGAAATAATAGTTTGGAACGGCCTATTTTGATGCATCGTAACTTGTGCTATTGTTGGTTATTTTGCATGCCACTAACTAGCGAAAGCTAGGTCATAAGCACTTTGAAATTGTATTAAAAATGAAATATTTCAATTTCACTTGACATTCTGTAATGAGTACGCTAAAGTAGATCACAAAAGGGTCAAAACATTATTTAAAAAAAGGAAAACAAGAAAGAAAATCAAAATTTTGTGGGGGGATAAATGACCCCATGCGGTTCTGGACCGCCCATGAGCTTCAGATAAGTTAAATTCTTTTTTTTTATCGCATTAATCAGAAGCCTATTATAAATTACTCAATGAGAAATCTGTTGTTTCTGGAGTTTGAAGTTACTCCTTCGAAAACAATCCGACAGAATCACCTGAATGCAAGAATTGATCAACAGGATCCAAAATTGTAATTCGAGCCCACCGACTTCACGATGTTTCCTTAAAACGAATTTGCTGCCTTCAATGGTGCTAAAGGCGTCCAGCAATCGTTTCCCAGGATAGAACGAATTTTCGTCTCCTACGGAAGCAGCACTGCAGTCTGCAGGAATTCCAACGAACTCAACGAAGTGTGTTTTACTTCGAAACAATATCAGAACGAGAGAGAGGGAAATGAGATTCAAAGCACAAAAAGTTTGCAATGAAAATGGTGTGAATTTTCTGGTAGAAAGGCTGGCTATTTATAGACTTGTTCGTGACCATTCGAACAGTCATCACCTTTCAGACAAGCCTCAAAAATCCGAATAGACATTCTGTTCTTAAAAGTCGTGTCTGTTAAGTCGGTTAACAGTGGGCTAACAGTCGACTGTTTGGTCGGTAAACAGTCGACTGTTAAAAGAAAATAAAACGCCCGGAATAAG